TATATATATATATATAAAATCTTGCATTCCCTTAGGATTTTTTGGGAAGAGAATGTTTAATGTTCATGAATACTTTGATTATGTGCAGGGTGTAAATAATGGCATGAAAGCACTGCATTAGCAGCAGCTGCACTGTAAACTAAACAAAGATGACTGCAGTACATTTGACAAGAAACTCATACTAGTTTTTCTGCTTTAAAATTTCATGTTTAGTTCAATGTTTGTTACTTGCCAAATCTTTGCCATTTGTTTCTGAGTGTAAATTTCTTTCTGCACCAATTTTTGTTTAATGAAACATCTCCTGTGATTATTAATAATCATGCATAGCATTTCCGGTGAGACGAGGCAGTGCAGCTCTTTAGGACCCTGTACAGTATGTGTTGCTTATGGAGCTTTATGAGCACGTGTGTGACGTGATTCCTGACCATAGACTGTATGTTCCTGACGCTGCAGAAATGAAGGTCATGTGATTTAACATTAGCATTCAGAGATCTGCAGGGTGACTTTATGAATCTCATGACCTTTAGCTGTTCTCCTCTCCATAAACAATGGGAGCATAAATCTGCTTTTGATTTGTAGCTCGGAAAGCCGTGCTGATGATCAGCTGGATGTGGGTCAGAGGTTTATCCGGCGTGTGTTTGTGTTTGATGTGCTTCACTTCTGATGCGCTCAAAGCTGTTCATCATCACAGTCATGCACTGACACTGTGCAAGTGTTTGTCTGGCCTTCGGTTAGCAGCGTCTCGTGAGATCAGACTGAAGAACGGCTTCTATTTCTGAATGTAATTCGCTCAGGGATTGAAACCTGGCCTAGATTATATGATTGTTCTTGCTCCGCTCGTTCACTCTGTTATTGTTCATTTCTTAATGCTTTGTATTGAGAAACGTGTGGGAGCAAAAGGCCATTATATGGTATGTTATGGTGAGCTATGTCACGTGTTGCACCTCAAAATAATCAAAATATAAACATTACATTTTTCATAAGGAAAATGTATCCTGTTTTTATTTAATCCCATTGCATTATTTTTATTACAACTACATTACTTTTATTGCAAAAAGAAGAAAGAAAAATCTTATTCTCGTTACTGTAATGCATCTAGACATTTTATGCACTTTACATTATAACTGTCGTTATTCTCAGTGATCATTCGTATATTAGGTATTATTCATTCACACATGTTTTGGTGTCAGCTTTGTTAGTGTCACTCACTGACAGATTGTTGGGCTGTGGGCGTGGCCACTGGGCTCATGAATAATGCAGCGGGTGGGTTGATTGCTCGTGTGTGATTGGCTCTCTGTGTTCTGCTGCTTTAGTTCTGGATCAGAGAGGAATGAGAGTTCAGTGATGCTGATGTGTGTGAGTCGCTGTGATCATAAGCGGCTGCTCGTCGCTCTCAGCTGTGTACTGATGTGCAGGAAGCTCTTAATGGCACACGGCTGTATCGGAGCAGCTGATTGGCTGAGAGCCGTCGGTGTGTCCTCTGCAGAGAGACAAAGACACAGAGCAGAACGTCTCAAGGACTCACACACCAGACCTAAACCAGATCCTCAGACCAGAAACCAGAACAAATCACACAAAACTGCAGTGTTCTGCTACAATCTCTTTGTTTACCATATTTATACATCAGGATATGTAATATGTACCATGGTTTCCTATGTTTTATAGTAATACTTTACAAATATAATTATGCATTTCTGTGTGGGTTTCATTGTGTAATGTTGTGTTAGGTCAGGGTTATGTACGGTAAAATTCAGTTAATGACGTAATCAAACAGATGATGAACAATATTAACAGCAATTATTATATGATGCAATCAAACTTATAGCAAAATGTGGTAGTTCTGTATGTTGTTTCAGGGTTGGGATCATCTGAGGTCCTCTGAGGGGTTGCATCATCTCTTCTCAGGTGTTCTGGATCCAGACTGAAGCTTGTGTAAATCCTAGTTACCACGGGATGTCAATCCCAGCAGAAACAGAGAAACACATAGAGACATAATTAGCGTAGCTGCTGTTCCAACCAAGCAAAAATGATTTGTTTAACCCAAACTAAAGAATAATAATGTGCATTTGATCAGATATAACTGCAGTACAAGATTATGAGATGCATTATTTGAATGCTTGGCCAAAGAGATGTGTCTTTAATCTAGATTTAAACAGAGAGAGTGTGTCTGAACCCCGAACGGTTATCAGGAAGGCTATTCCAGAGTTTGGGAGCCAAATGCGAAAAAGCTCTACCTCCTTTAGTGGACTTTGCTATCCTAGGTACTACCAAAAATCCAGAATTTTGCGACCTTAGGGAGCGTGATGGATTGTAGCATGGTAGAAGACTAGTTAGGTACGCAGGAGCTAACACATTAAGGGCCTTATAGGCAAGTAATAATATTTTGTAACTGATACGGAACTTAACAGGTAGCCAGTGCAGAGACTGTAAAATTGACATAATATGATCATATTTTCTTGACCTAGTAAGGACTCTAGCC